CGTAAAGATTTCATCTTAGATCATCACCAGGCATTTGAGCGCATAGTTCTTTGTTGTCTTCACCACTTTCTGAAACCAATAGTCCGTTAGAACCCTATCGGAATAACGTATCCAATTCATTATCCCATTAGAGTTTCTGACTACGTTTCAGGGGGCTAAGTGTAATTATCGATACCACAGGGACCTTACAGTTATTTAAGCATACCTCAGGGGGGTGTGTGTAATTTACCCTTAAATTAATGCAAAAAAAAAAAGAATCATGATTTTCTTTTGCGGGCGCTGCCCCCGAACCCCTCGAAATAAGCCAATTATAGTTTCGCATTCTTGGAACAATCATTAGTCATTAGTTTTTTTACTTTATTCTTATTATATATTCGGCCTCCCTAATGGATAAAATTCTGGCTTCGCCACTAGTTATATCAAAGTCTTTCGGCAATTATGTTCTTATTCTGAAAATATGTTCGCAAAACAAATACAACGAACAGTTTCACCGAATTCTTCATCGGTGACTTGAACTTTTTCGATTTTTCAATTATCACACATAGGATGCAAAGAAAAAAAATTTAATTCTTACAAGAATTACACACCTGGAAAACCAATCTTCCAGTATAGAAAACCATGTACATACATACACATGTGATTTTATTTTCAATTCCCAAACCCCAAACACCAAATCAAAACCCAAATAAATATTACACCAAAACATTCAGACACCATAAATAAATAAATAAATCAAATATTAGCTCCAAGCAAAGTCATGAGGAAGTCCTTGTAATCACCAGATGTATCTCCAATGACAGCATTATCCAAACTAGTTCTGTAGCAATTAAAATATTCTCCTCTGACTTTCATCATGTCGATTTCTGCCCGCGTTACGATAGCTCTCGTCAGCGAATTTTCATCCGTTCCTAGCCCGACTATCGCAGATTTTATAACCTGTAATTTCCACAAAAAAAATTTAAAAATTAATTCATAAAATATTGGATCTTTCGGTTTTCTAAAACATTTTTTTTTTGTTTTTAAATTTACCTCAGCAAAGTGTTTCTCAGGGGAGTCTATGCACCAAATCACTACTTTCATAATCGACTCACGAGTGCCGTCTTTACATGCCATAATATCCTGCAATTATGATTTTCCAAGCAATGACAAAAAATTAAAAATTAAAAATTAAAAATTAAAAAAAAAACGGATAATTAAAAAACCTTGTCTATGGATTTGCCGTAATTATCGTTGTAACACTGGAAAGTTTGTCTGAGTTGATACAGGTTTCTTGTACTCAATATCCATAAGAACTCGTCACTGTCTAATTTCTTCGCTTTAATGGCCTCGTGTAATTTAGTCGCCTCGATATTAGCTACATTACAATCCACCACTTCTTTATCGTATCTGTAAGAACTCACCAAACTAACCAAGATCTGTTTCATTACATTACACATATGTTACTACAATACTGTTCTTGTTTCCGCATATGATTATATATATATATATACACACACACACACACACACACACACACACACACACATATATACATGTATATATACCTTTTGAAAGGGTAGAGGGGCATGCTTTACGATATCTTCCTCAAGTGAAGATTCGAACAGAGAACAATACGCTTGCCTTACGGCAACAAGATGATGCGGCGAATTCGCACACGCTATCTCGACTATCACTTGTAATTTTGTTACGGTTTTCTTCTTCGATTTTATCGCCTCGTTCGCAAGCCTTGCATCTCTTTCAGCTGGATCGTATGCCCATAACATCACCGCTTTCTAAACACAAAAATCACAAAAAAAAAGAAAAAAAAAAAATTACTTTATGCCAAAATCATTAAAGATTTCTTCTTTTTTTTTTTTTTTTTGCAATTGAATAAAAATAAATAAATATACCTGGAAATCACCAGAGAGCTCAGCGAAGATACAATCAATGAGGGATTTATTGTAGAGCTGTTGATAAGTATCTTTAATTTTTCGCCTCTGATTTGAATTTCTGCGACCTAGAATCCGAATTAGCGCCTTTTCATCTGTGCCCAACCCTATAATCCAACAACACACATCTAAAAACATAATTAACTGCCCCCAATTCTTCATTTCAAACAACAAATCAGCAAAAAAATGTACAGAAATTCAATCAGAAAAAAAAAAAATTGATCGTTGTGTGTGTGTGGAGAGAGAGAGAGAAAGGAAAAGGGGGTGAGAACTGTACCCTGGAAGGATTTCTTCAGTTTTTCACAGTCTTCCGCCGGAGATGGAACCACCGCCGGAATTCGAAGTGTCGCCATTTTTCTTCTTCTTTTTTTTTTTTCGTCGTCGATTTCAAATGGTTGTGTTTGATCAGTTCTGTTGGTTTTTCACTTGTTTCCCTCGCTCCTCCCTTCAAGGGGTAGGATAGGGATAAACAAATTACATTGTTTTTGTTAGACCTTTATGCCCCTATCTTTGTTTATTAATTGCTTCTTCTAACCGACTCTGCGTACGTTTTTTATTTACAAACATCGCCCTCTCGAATAAAGACTATGATTAATGATTAATCATATTATGAATTATGTAATATTATTTAGGGTAAAGTACAATTTACACCCTTGAACTATGGGAGTTGTACCAGTTTACCCCTTTAAACTACAAAACGTCTCAAATACCCCTGTAGTTCAGGGGTGTAAATTGTATTTTGCCATATTATTTAAGCATTAAGATAATAGAATAAAATATTATAATGTTGAAATGCTAAAAGATAGATTCGATTAGGTGTAACCCAATTTTATCCGATTGAAACCCGAGTTTATACACGGTCGAACCAATTCGATTCGTTTTTTTTTACCCAATTAAATCAGTTCAACATGATTTTTTGGCACATCTTAACTCTTCGGTTTTTTTTTTTATTTGTTCTTTTTTATGTTGAATAGGAAACCATCAATGTTGATGAAAGTATGGTAAATGATAATACATTGCAACATTTTATGTTTTAATATATTCGTCGATATTTTAAATTATAAAGTTGGCTTCTCAAATTCGAGACGCCAAAGTTATAATTTAAACGATGTGCAAAATCCGCATTACGCCATTACCTCTTAAAGCATATTTTTTTTTCAAGTTGACTTTTCAAATTATTTAAATTCGACATATATAATTTCACTTTAGTTGAGAATATAATTTTGAGTAAAAAAAAAAAGAGTGCATGCAGTTCTTCAAAATATAACTTATGTATTAGAAACCACATTGGAGATGTCAGATGTGTCCAATAATTTATCCGTAACCACGAATCGGGAAGCGATTTTTAGTATTTTGCAAATCTTGAAAAATCGTACCATGTGATTTTCGAAATAGGATGGAGCGTGTGAATCGGCATTTAATATTGTGCATGGTTCGCTAGAACATAACCATTGACCAAAACTCAGTGTCAGAGACAGCATACGGCATGAAAGGACAGTGGCCTCCATTTTCAATATTTTCTCAAATCTCTATTAATTTATGTAGAAATTATATATATATATATATATATATATATATATATATATATATATATATATATATATATATATATATATATATATAAAATTGACTCAATCATTAATCATTATACAATAAATGTTGATAAGCAGATAAAGTGGTTGGTCTGTCAAGAACACAATTTCCCCACAAAACTTTTGCCAGCTAATCTGTAATTATACTTCTGACAAATAAAGATCACAAGGTATGTTGTCATGTGTTTCATGCATGTTTCCAATTATTTTTTAATTCTTTAGGCCACGTAAAACACCAAAAAAATTGAGGTGTACAATATTGGGTTTTTTGCAAAAATTACCCATGTATAATCTCGAATTGCCAAAAAGTCCTCATATTAAAGAAATTAGTGAAAGCCCCCTATATATAAATTTAGTCGAAGTCAATAAGTTCCTGGGAGCCGTCGGCCGTGTTCTACACTCGCCATTTGTGCAAGTAGGGGTGTGTTTTTGACTTGAAAAGACACAAATACCCTTAAAAAAAAATTGCAACGTTCCAGATTCACCCCAAAATTCTTATAAGCCCCAAAGTGAAGTTTTTAAAGTTTTCAATTTCATCCTTCATATTTTCAAAAAACTGTGAATACCCCCTATAAAATTTAGTAAAAGTCAAGAGATTCTTGCGAGCAGCTGATTGTGTGCTACACTCGCCATTTATGCAAGTAAGAGTGTGTTTTTTGACTTGGAAAGACAGATACACCCTATAATTCTTATAGGGTTTAAAGTGAAATTTTTAAAATTTTCAATTACATCCTTCATATTTCCAAAAAACCGCTCTTCAAATTAACCCATCACCAAGACCTGAGTTTATTCTAGCTTTCATATGCACATTGTTTGATTGGTAATAATCAATTAAAGTAATTAATTAAGTTTTTATATCATAAATTCAAGTCCTAAACTTCAAATCATACTATATAATATTCATTTCAAAAAAAAAATAGAATCACACACAGAGATATTATGCAAAATCAGAGAATCCACGTTCTCACACGTCGCAATAATATAATTAAGAATGGGTTTAGCATAATTACAAACATAACGTGCTTAGCATGTCTTAAAGCTGTCTGTCCGAATCGAGTTATGATCTTCAATGAAAAATCAAGAATCAAATATATATTTATCTTTTATATTACTTCTTTTTTATTTGCGCACGTAATAAAATAAGAACCTCAGTAAATATTAGGGCTGGGACTGGGTTGGTTTTTATCCACCAACCGACCCATTACCGACCATATTTTTAGGCGGATAATCAATTTTTAACCGACCCATTGGATCGGGTCGAAAATTTCAACCAACCCATCTATAATGGGTCGGTTGTTGGTTTCTAATATTATCAAAAGTTGGTTGACCGATAATTATCGGTCATCCAATTATATTATTAAGATTTTATTAAAAACATAAAATAAAGGCCGTGTTTTCTTAAGTGATTAGTGAAATTATCAAAATAATTATTATATTAAATTTTAAAAACAATCAACAAAAGAAAAAAAATGAGTTAAATCTTCTACCAGTTTCTTTATGCCCAAGCTTATACAAAAACCCACAAAACTCCACTAAATCTCTTGTGCATGTTTGAAATTACTTTGAATTTTCTAATTATATTTTTCTCGTTAAATTGTTATTAATTATTTTGAATTGATAAATGATGATCGCACAGTGGCATTACGCAGAATGTTGATAATTTTACTCCAAAATTTGAATTTTTTTGAAGTAAACTAGGTGACGGGTATAAACCATCAACCGACCCATTCTGGAACCAAATATTCGGTTGCCAACCATCAACCGACCCACAAAGGTTGGGTCGGCAATGGTTTTCAAATTTTAGCAAAAATGGTTTGACGGATGGGTCGGTTTTCAGGCTGGTAATCGACCGATCCAACCCAGTCCCAGCCCTAGTAAATATACATGGATTATAGCAAAATGATATAAAAATACTATGATACCCCTGTTATTAATTATTTTTCATCTAACTAATTAAGACTAATAAGGGGTACAATTGAGAAAAAATATAATTAATATTTTTATGAAATTCTAAGGCCTGGTTTGTTTATCTATATCTGATTAGATCGGATTAGATTAGATTGGATTAATTCGTTAACTAATTAAATAATTACTGCTCCAATATGTTTGATTCTTTAGATTACATCTTGTATTAATTTTATTAGATTATGTTACTATATGTGAATTGTCTATAAAGTATAAATCTTTTCTTTAAAAACATTAAATTATTGTTTTAAGGATAAAATTGTAATTTTTCATGTTAGTCACCCTACAAAATTAATCATGGGGTGTTAATCATGACGTAGTAACACTTAACTACGAGCATAAAAAAATATTGCAGGTTTGGGCAATATTAAATCCTACCAACTAAATATTTTACTAACTCAACTATTATTTAGTCAATCTACCCTAACCGTAACAAGCAAACGAGACCTAAAATAACAAATACTTTGGGACTAAAAAATTCTCATAAAACAATAATATAGGACATATGGAGTAATTAAAAAAGAAAATCGCTTTGTCCCATAAATAGGTTTTACTAATTCATTTCCTTACCGGCCCTGTTTTTTTTTTTTTTTTTCTTTTTGTGTGTTTCTTTTCTAGTTAAACAAAAAATAATAAAGATTTTTTTTTTGGATTTGAACAATTTGCAAATATTTCTTTGTCGGTATATGATTCAAATTCAAATCGGTTACATATATTAGAAAATTTATTTTATGGTCTTCTACTGGGGCACAAATTAAATAACATATATGAATTTTTAAATTGAACTTGTGACAAACTTGCTGTGTATTAATTATGTTGCTGTGTGGGGGTTGAATTGATAAAATTGGTTTGAAAAATACAGAAAATGATATAAATTAATAATGTAAGGTGTGTATTTTATTGTCAAGATAATATTAATGTAACATCATGCTTAGCTGTTATGGGTTTTGGACTTTGGATAATTATATTATATTATGTTTATTTATTATCGAAGTTCTACATATTTTTATTCAATCACATTTATCACACATTCACATTGGATGGACAGGTTTACCTAGCATTCACATTTCGCTGTCCAATTCCAATTTAAAACACCTCACCCAATCTCCTATTTTATAAATTAATATATATATATATATATATATATATATATATATATATATATATATATATATATATATATATACTCTCTAAAGTTACACATAATGTGCAAAATTATTACGATATATTCCCGTTGTCCCATATTATTTATCTTTTTGAAAGAAAAAAAAAATTATCCTTAAATTATTTGTTACATTACAATTCTATTACAATTCTAATGAAGCATTAACTGCATTATTTTCACTTTTACTTTTTTTTTTGTCACTCTTAATTAAAGAAGTGAAAATAATTAATAATAAGGATATATTAGTAATTTTCTTTTTTTTTTTTTTTTTCGCTATAAGCTATGCACATTTATTGATTCTCTTAATATGTTCGCAACGAAAAAAAATCGACATATAAAATGGGATGGGAGGGTATTAAATAGACACTTATGAAGTGAATTATATAAATCGTGAATGCATCGAATTAAATTCTCAAAAAATTGATAATTACAGTCTAAGAGCAACTCCAATGAATAGACACTAAAATGACTATTGGACATTCAATTAATGCTTGACATTAGAAGATTAAAAGTCAAACTTTACATAAGTTGATTTATTCATTTTTTTCCTTTTTTTTTTTAGAATTTTATCTCACTTTGTGGGTGAAACTTGAACAATCACCATCTATGATGAACTGGATTGAAACATAAATAATATACATTGTGCCCCATCACTTTATTATATTAAAAGAAGAATTAATATATATATATATATATATATATATATATATATATATATATATATATATATATATATATATATATATATATATATATATATATATATAATCGGAAAAAAAATCATTACAGTTAAACCTCTATAAATTAATATAGTTGGGTCGAGAAAAATTCTATTAATTTAGCGAATTATTAAATTATCGAGTTATCAATTTAACACATTTTCACTAAGTCATGACTGAAAAAAACTATTATTTAATCGATGTTATTAATTTATCGAGGTATCACTGTAGTTGGTTCAATAAATTCCAATTTAATATTTATTATGTGATAATTTAAATTGAATTGTCTTAGCTTGTCTTTTTTAACAGTTACATAGGCATAAATTGTGTTTCCCCCTTCATTTAATTAAATATTAAACAACACTAATATCATTAATAATATATTGTTTTCTACGTCTCTGCCTTGTTTGAACGAGTAACTGATGTAAAATGTAATAAATAAATGTATGACTCGAGTTTAAAATAATTAATAACCCAAATAAGGACTAGTATGCAATACCCGTATTTCCTCGGGGTATTTTTGTCTTTGCAGCCATTGAGAGATCCAACTAATAACTAAAATGACTAAAATAACCCCGCGCGGAGGATATAAAAAGGCGCCAATGCCAATCACATTCATCCTCCTTCAACGAAACAAAAATAATATTCAGCAAAATTAATAATATATTCTCATCATCAATGGCAGCCTCAGACGACCATGGATCTCTCACCAGAGCTTTCTCAGGTTTGTTTTTTTCCCCAATTAAATCCTTTTTTTTTTTCCTAATTTCCTTTTTCCTATAATTCAATGAATAATTAAAAAAAAAAAAAAAAGGAATTTTTGAAAAAAACTATTAATTTTGGCATTTTTGTTGTATTTATTTTCACCGTATATTCGTAAAAACCAAAAACCTCGCATGAAGAGTTTTAAAAATATTTTTCAAAGTATAGTCTTATTTATTTATAACAACCATTTGAAATATTATTAATTCTAATTAATAATAATTATTAACGTTAATAATTATTAAAAATTAAAAAAAAAAATGAAGGTTTTGGAGTGGATGAGAAGGCATTCGTAACGATATTGGGGAAATGGCATCCGGAAGAGAGGCAGAGTTTCAGAAAAAAGAGCGGAGATTTCTTTGTTGAAGACGAACGTCAATTCGAAAGGTGGGACGATCGCCATATCTTGCAGCTGCGTAATGAGTTTTTACGTCTCAAGGTATATTTTTCATACTACTTGCTCTCTTATTTTTTTATTTTGTTATTTTTTTTAAAGAATATTATTTTAAATAAATTGGTTATATATGTCAGCATAATTGAGATTTAGATTTATTTTTGGGTTGCTTTTATTGTTATTTTTATTTTATTTATTTATTTATTATTTTTGGGTTGTTCAAATGTAACAATCATGAGTTTTGGACTTTGGTGCACGCTTAATATAAATAATTTAGAGTAAGTAAAAGGTGTTTCTTGGAAATTTTTGTTTTAAAAAAACTTATGAATGCCACTCTTGCTTAGGGCCGATCATCGAAACAAGTTTTTTCTGATTTGCCAATTTCGATTCGAAAATTTATGATTTTAGAACTATATTTTGCACTCTAATTTTCAAAATAAAATGAAAATTTGTTGGAGTCGGATTATGTATAGGATTTCGAATTTTGATCAAATTTTGGTTTTCCAAAATATATTTTAAAATTTTAAAACAAAAAATAAAAATAAAAAATAAAATTCATTTTTTTTGTCCCGAATTAACATTTATAACATCAATATTAATATGTATTTTATAATATATGTGAATAAAAAACAAAACCTAATTTCGAGTTTCGCCGATTCGTTCGAGTTTCTACGATTCTAATTACAAAAAATGATTTTGGAATTTTAATTCAGTTATTGACATTCCAACATTCGATTTTTTTGAATTATTTGGACCGGGATCTGAATTATTTTTTTAAGTTCAAAAAAGTTTTTTTTTTCCTTCTAAAAATGCTAATTATGATCAGATACGTCTGATTTTTACACTTAGCCACACATTTTAGTTTACTTTCTATACTTTCTTACCTAATGTTTCACTATTAGCTATAAGGTTAAATTTATTAAAAATGAAAAGCGGGTTCGAAAATTAAAATTAATTACCGACTTCACAACGTTTTAAATCCACAAAATTATTAAATAATGAAAATCTTTGTTTCAGGACGCGATTGTGCTTTGGACTATGCATCCATGGGAGAGAGACGCAAGATTATTGAAAGAAGCGTTATACAAGGGACCTCAATATAACGTACTCATTGAAATCGCGTGCACAAGATCGTCTGAAGAGTTGTTGGGTGCACGCAGAGCTTATCACTCCCTCTTCGATCACTCGATCGAAGAAGACGTCGCTTCTCATATTCGTACTCCCGAGAAAAAGGTTAGCCACTTATCACCACTATTATCGACCCTTATTTATTTTTATTCAAACAACTAGACATATTAAAGCAAAATTGAATATAAGTTTGACATTATCAATCCTATGAAAACTCTGATTATCTACAGCAAGATGCTGGAAGTTGAAACCGAATTTCTGATTTGGATTATTATATCTTGTTCTGAATTCCGAAAATTCTGATTTCAAAATTTTCTGAATTGGATTTGGAATACATATGAGATTCTAATTTTTTATCCGATTTTAATTTCGGAAATAATTTCAAAAAACTTCAACTTTGTTTTTCAAGAATTACATTTAAAATAATGCAATATTTCCGATTTTCGTCGATTCCGATCCCGATAATTTCAATTTTAGGACTAACCTCGAACCGATTCGTTCAATTCTCACCCCTGTAGAGTGAATGCCGACGGCATGCTTTAGAATTTCAACACGAACCGCAATTAATCGAAGATATTATATCTTCATAATCAACAAAATTGTTGGTAGCATTTTTATATTTTCTTAATTAATAATGGCGTAATAATTTTTTTTTTCTTTTTTTTATTTTGGGCAGCTTTTGGTTGCACTATTGAGTTCTTATAGGTATGAAGGGCCAAAAGTGAGTGATGAAATTGCAAAATTAGAGGCGGAGACAATATCAAATGTGACAAAGAAAGGGGATAATAGTGTTATTGAAGATGATGATATTGTAAGAATATTATCCACAAGAAGTAAGCTTCATCTTGTTGCACTTTACAAGCATTACAAGCAAATTACTGGCAACTACTTGGATGAGGTATTATATCTAATCATTCACTTTTTTTTTATACAATTATGCTATTTTTATTTTATTTAAATCATTACATATGTAGCAAAAATGAATTTTATGAGTTCAAGATTTATATGATTCAACAAACAAATAAATCGCGGTGAAAAATAGTTATCCGCAACTATCTTTCATCTTGGAAGATAAGGATGTTTTGAAAGACTTTTATCGAGTGGTAAAGTTGTCATAGGACTAAAAATATTAAAAAGAAAACAGAAGTCGATGATTGTGGGTTAAAGTAATAATAGTTGTTTATTCGTAAAAGTTGGAGCTTAGTGTTTGTAAATTTCATGAAAAAGTAAACGCTAAGCAACTTATTTAAGAGAAGTTGCTCAAGGGGCATTTTTTTCTTTTTTTATTTTCATTATTTTATTTTTTATTTTTTTTAAAATTTATTTTAACTTAATGCAACGATTTTAAGAGAAGTAGAAGCAAAAACTAGTATTCCGAATACTTCAATAGTGATTATGAGCTAAAAATATTATAATCACTTTTCAAAAGATTTTACGAACACCATCTAAAAATTAAATTTGGAAGGAGTATAAACTATTGCCCCTCTAATTTTTATTTTATTTTTTGAAATTTCCGTTACATCTGTTTGACATATAGCATAAAAATTAGCCCGTCGATTAAAACCTAGTTGGGTTTGCCCCAAATCATCACTATATATACTCTTTGAGGGTTTATTTGATGCTACACTCGATAAAATACATCGAGTAATTATTATTCATTGATCTGCACATAATCACACACTCCCATATATATATGCGCGTTTAGTAGGTGATTATTTAACCATATCAATGGTTAAAAAATTACCCCGCGTAGCATCTCAATGACTTTGAATAACATAGCCTCATAATTGTGTTTCTTTTATGTAAAAAATAAATGTTTTTTTTTTTTTTTTGTAATACTTCAATTTTATTTGTTTTGATATTTTGTGTAAAAGGATATCGCACTCGGTGGTAACTCGCATCTAAAAGCGACAACTCAGTGTTTATGCACACCTCCAACGTACTTTAGCCAGGTAAAATTTCATAAATTATTAGTTGTAAAAATATTTAAATGCTTTTTTTTTTTTGTAACATTAATTAATTCATTTGTTATAAATTTAATTTAATTTTTAGGTGTTGGACGCATCATTGAAATATGATGTGGATGAAATAACCAAAGAAGCCGTAACAAGAATCATAGTGACAAGAGCCGATGCGGACATGAAACAAATCAAAGAAGAATATAATAAAACATTTGGCGTCCATCTCTCCCACAAAATTGAAGATTTGGCCAATGGGAACTATAGAGATTTCTTGCTTACTTTAATTGCAAGAGGAGATTAATTAATTCCATTTCTTTGCATGTTTTTTTTTTTTTTTTGTTTTTTGAATCTAAGTTTGGAATTTGGACCCCTAATAAGTATGTTTTTTATTTATTTTTTAATCCAATTTTCTTGATGATTTTTTAAGACTGTTCAAAATATTTTGTTTGAGGTGTTGAGTAGCATCTCTTTTGTTTGATGTTAATGTTTAATGCTATCAAATTATGATGATTTGTTTAATGTTTGATGTTTAAATTTGAATTTCTCTTCAACATTGGATTTCCCTTTCTCATTTTTTCTTCTTCTTATAATTACTAGGCTTCTAAATTATAGAACAACAAAGAGAGAGAGGAAGTGTTATGGTGAAAGTAATTCATGAGAATGAAGAAGAGGATGAAGGGTTTATCGATGGAGGTTCGGACTCAGGACAATCTCTAGTTTTTTTTTTTTGTGGCCCAAAGCGAGCAATAAATGTGGGCTTGTTTTATTTATTTTAGGGTAATTACAACCATCCCCTGAGGTATGGTTTATTTACGAAAAAACCCTTTTTGTTTGGATAATTACATCTACCCCTCAACTATAAATTTTTCTTATACCTCAACTCTTATGGTGTCAAATTCAACATAATCATCTAGATTTCGTGAAATGTGCTCTATTGTATACTCGTTATGTGTAAAAATACAGTTTCTGATGCACCACAATCTGATATATACAAGCGTAAAAACACATATTATGATCATCCTGCTTCAAAATGTGGAGTTCGAATAGGATAAAACGGGTACAAAAGTGATAATAATCCATATAATCTCGAAAATTCCACTAAATTTGAAACCGCAAGTGTAGACGTGTAGATTTATAGTTAAGGGGATGATTGTAATTATCCAAACATAAGGGATTTTTTTGTAATTTAACCATACCTCATGAGGTGATTGTAATTTACCCTTTATTTTATTGTTATAAAAAGATGGCCATGGGCTGGGTAGCGCAATCCCGCCCCGTCTCGTTTGCAAAATTAAGCGCACCATTTTACAATCCACATTTTTTTTTCTTTTTTCTTTGTTTTTTCCTTCTTATTTTTAGTGTAAAAATCAATCATAACCCTTGTTCCTTCCAGGAAAAAAAAAAGAGGACAATGTGTTCTTTTTTTTCCAATGCAAATAAATATATTCCTAGTGATTGTGAAGTGCAATTGAACTCCTAAGCATTTGAAATAAAAATGCAAATCAACAAAAGTTTTATAAACATACATATTAAAAAAACAAAATTTAAAGCAAGCATCGTTGTCTTGGAACAAGCCCCCAAGCACCGATGTTTGACAATACTTGAAACAAAATAAATAGAAACGTAAACTACTTTTTGCTATTAATCGTCAACAAGTACACTCCATCATCATGTAAGGGTATTATTATATGTAAATAAAAATTACGGGAGGTAAAAGGGGCGGGTAAGGGAAAATTTTACTACACATTCCATTCTTTAACGAGACGGGTATTATCCGGCAAAAATGGGGTCGGCCGGATACCCAATGGCAGGTGCGAGTCCACCCTTAGGCAAGGGTGGATTAAAGCCCACCTTCAATTTACAATTCCCCCCTATATTATACTATATATCTATTTAGCCTCCCAAATTTTATTAATTAGCCCACTCAAAATTTCAATTAGTGAAAAAGAAGTCCCATTTTTTTATTAATTATCCACTCAAAATCCAAATTAATGCAAAAAAAAACCCACCCAAATTCAAATTAATGAAAAAAAAACTAAAATTTGTTTTTTTTTATGTTTCTTCTTTTCCTATTTTCTGATTTTATCACAAAAAAATATTTAAAAAAAAATCAGAGACGCTGCCCCCAAATCCCGGAAAATTTAAACCCACACTGTACCAAATTCCTGGACTCGTCACTGCCCAATGAATTTGGAAATATTGTCATCTCTATAAATTGTATAGAATTATAAATCCTTGTAATTTTTAGAGATACAAAAATATGAATTAAATCATTGTGTTGTATTCTTTTTCCCGGTATAACCTATTCCATCGATAATGTTGCAACATATAACACACTTGTTCTTCATCAAGAATATAATGACTCAGAAATTAAAAAGATCGATTTAATTCGACGAAAAGCTAAAACAAAAAATCAACAATTCTATTAGAGCAACTTCAGTGGAGGAACTAAATGAAGTATCAAACTAAAAAACTACCATTTTAATATTCCAAAATTAAAAAATATTCCCACTCCAATGAAGGCATTAAAGTGACAATTATTTTGATATTCAACCAACCCGAGATGCAAAATTACTCATTGGAAAATGAGGTATAAAAAATATTAACCACTTCATTGACCTATCACTATTTGACATGTGACATTTAAAAATATAATTAGTTATATATTTAAAATTTGATAATCTATTTGATATTTGTGGTTGAAGTGATTTTTTCTAGAAGTATCAAAGTTAAACCTCTATAAATTAATCGAGTCGGAACTAGCAAAATTCTATTAATTTAGCGAAATATTAAATTATAGAACTAATAATTTAGTAGGTTTTTACCCAACTGGGACCAGAAAAAACTATTATTTAACCAAAGTTATTAATTTATCGAGTATTAATTTATTGAGATTCTACTGTATTATATCAATTATCAAATGAATGATTACCGTATTAATTTATTAATTTAAACGTTTAAAATTAAAAACGGTAACATACTAGTTCCTGGGTGTAGCTCAACTGGTTCCGGAGGTGGTAAGTTGGTGCAAGGTCCTAGGATCGAATCCTGGCAGCCGCAGTGTGGGAATTTCAACTCCAATAAGGTTGGTTCCTTGTGGGCACCAGGTCCGGGTCCGCTACCTTAACGGGCCGTTGAGTTACCATGATTTACATTCCCTCATCAATCCTTGTCGGGCCAAGGGATGGGGGCCCTGGGGGCGAGGGATTTCGCCTTTTGGTGCAAGGTAACATACTAAGTAGGAGAGTAAAATATTACTGATATAATATTGAGTAAAGATGGAGAAATATGCATGATAAATTTTGAATATTGAAAGATACTTTAGCATAAATGAAATAGAAGAAAGATGTAATTTATTTATTGTTATAATAACTACTTTTATTTAATATTAGTAAATAATCAAATTTATTATAAAATTCCCCCAAAAAATAGGGCCCTATCATATTGGGAAACTCTCCCCGATACTTCTTTTGCAGGTTCGTTGAGCTTCGAATGGCAGGTACTAACTACTGGGTTCGTATCGCCACTAACCGTTCGTCTCCCTTGCTCATTTTCATCTCGCTGTTTCTGGTTTCTAAAAGAACAAGAAATTTCGATACGATTAAATTTGTCAATTTGAGGAAACTTTTTTTAAGGTATAGTTGAAAACTTTAGAATCGAGTTATCTTACAAGTAGTTGTTTGTGAAATTTTGTTTCTTGGTCGAATTTTAGAGATTGGTGGTTGTTGTTTTTATTGAATTGGTGTTCAGATTTTTTCAGAAAAAAAAAAAAACATCATGTTCTTAGTGAGTTGTCAAGATCTCTCTTTAAATTGTAGTTTACCCAATGATTAATACCTTACCATTTTTATAGAATTGAAATAAAATTCTAAATTGTCATACAAAATAGTTATCATAGAGAATTTGTAGAGCGATAATAGATGAATGAGAATTTGGTAACGATTGTAATTATAAAAAATGTAGTTGTACCCTTCACATGCTACACAAATGGATTGCAAATATACCCGAGTTTGTGTTTGGTGGGAAGGAGAGAGATAATCGGGTTAAGTTGTAGGGGTTTAGAAATAGGGAGCCCTCGATGCCTACACCCGGTGATAATAACCGGGTGTGCCTCCTCGTGACACCTGCAACGCAACTCAGACTCTGTCCCCGTGCCTAGAATTTTAATCAAATTAAACCATCCTTTCAGATTCTAATAAAATAAACTTTTTATTCAAATTACAAAATTTTATTTCTTACAGCTTATTTTTAACATATATAATTGAAAGTAGAGTAGATTCTGTTAAAAAAAACTTTTTATTCAAATTACAAAATTCTATTTTTTACAGATTATTTTTAACATGTATATATATTGAAAGTAGAAACTGAAAAAACTAATGTCCAAAACATTTATTTCGGTGGACTTCAAACATTTGTTTCGGTGTTCTCTTGAACAAATTTGCAGCTGGCTCTGATAAGGCTTCTCTCCTACCTTCTTCTTCTGTATGCTCTTCCTCTTCAAAGAAGTTTCAAATTTTTTGTTATATTTTTTCAATGCTTTCGGTGGCCGTATAGAAACTAGATATCCAATATTAGTCCAACATATCTATAAATAAATTCTTTCAATTAGATATATGATTTCACAAATAGTTTCACAAATGGTTTCAGAAAGGAAAAAGAACCAACCCATTTTTGTTGTAGAGAAACCAAGAGAGAGGGTTGGTGAAAGAAAATAGAAGGAAGAAAGGGTAAATTAAGGAGGTGGGGTTGGGGTCTTAATTCTATCGACTATGGGTTAGTAATTCAAATAATAAATATAATTAAATTTCAAATGAAAACCATAAAATATAAAAAAGATCAATTATATTATAAGCATGAGACACGTGTCCCGAGGAGGTACACCCGGTTGTTATCAGCGGATATCGCATCGAGGCTCCCTTAGAAATATAAATATAAGAGGAAAGACACTCGGTGATAATAGCCGAGTGTCGGGGGTCGAGGGAGCCCTAACTAGAGTGTAGCATTTTTATATCCATGATGGATGGAATGGACGATTAAGATCAAACAAATCCTATTTTGTATAATGATTCCCTCTAATGTTCCAAATAAAAGTCTAAAATGCATATAAACTAGAACTTCTTTAGAACGTCCATATAAATTTTCAATATTGTACGTATTAAAAGATGGTGTGCATCGAGTGTGTGCAGTAAGGAATTACTCAATTTTGATTTCACAATTATTTACATTTTATAAATGAAATGGTTTATACAATTGAAGATGATTAGTTTAATTTTTGAATAGCTATACAATCATGGGTAATTTGATTAATCATCGGTAGATTTAAAAAGAAAAGAAAAAAAGTATGATTAATCATTGGTTAAAATTTTAAAGGGTTTGACAGTAGCATCCCTAATATTTTCTTTAGGAGTATTAGAGGTGTTCATTCGGTGAAATCGGTACGAATATAGTTTTTTACCAAATTAATTCGGTTCGGTACCAGTAAAGTAAAACTAAAAATATATTTTCTTATATTTAAAAAAAAATATTTGAACTAAAAATAAAAGTGATTATCAATAGAAGCTAATTTGTAAATATTGGAAAAAAAATATCAATCTACAAGTATTTTATAATTTGTTATAACATTATGATTTAAAATGAAAGAAAAAAAATAAGTATATATTAAATATTTTGGTATTCTTATGGTGCGGTATATCGAGCATCAATGAATAACGTAGACCGTACCAAATACCGGGATTAAATAAGGAGTATACTAACAAACATTAACTACAATAAATTGGAAATCAAGTAGAGAAATAAAATATTCAAAATCAATAGTTCCAATATCTTAAAACATAACTCAAATAAAAGTGATCCAAGGATCAATGCATAACAAATAAAACACAAAGTCTCCAATTAACATGCATGTAATTAATAATAATTACTTATTTTCATAATTAATTAAGTAGATATATTTTTAATTACTATTCTTGGTTTAATTTCCCAGCAAAGTAATAAGGAAGGCCTTATAATCTCCAGAAGTGTCTTTTGCAACTGCATGATCAAGAGTTACACTGTTCCTCTTATGATACACCTCTTTTATTTCCTTCAAATCTTTTTCGGCTCGAGTCACCACTACCCGAGTCAGCGACTCTTCGTCTGTGCCAGCTCGGTTCAGAGCTTGACGAATAACCTGCAAAATAACGAGTCGAACAATATGTCAATATTTCCAATTATATATAATTCAGGAAGCAATAAAAAAATATTTTGTCAATTATTTGTGAATTTTGTTATATTTTGGGAGAATATTTTCGTTCTTGAAAAATGAGATCGTATTTGTGTATATCTCAGATAAGAAAATTGATTAAACCAATTTTCGTTCTTGAATAATAATTGATTAAACCATTTTTTGAAGTAAAAATGGGAAAAATACCGTTTCACGCCTCAAGTTTGCATTGATTTCATATTTAGCCCTCATGTTCAAAAAGACACATTTGGTCCCTCATGTTTAAAAAAATAAACACTTTTAGTCACTTTCCGTCAATTTTCCGTTAGTACTAACGGAATCAAGTGTGTGCCCGTCAGTGTCTTAACTGACGGACTGCCGGTAAATTGACGGAAATGACCAAATGTGTTAAATTATTGAAACATGAGGGACCAAATGTATTTTTCGTGAACACGGGGTCCAAATAGGAAATCAGTGCAAACTTGAGAAGTGAAAAACTATAAATTCCTCAAATAAAATCACTACCTTTGCATAATACTTTTTATGATCGTTGATGCATCGGATAGCGACGCGTAAGGCGGAGACATAGTCGCAAGATTGCTCGTCTCTCAAATGCTGAAAGAAATCAACCAAAATGTAATCTTAGAAACATAAAGTTATAATTTACAATATTTCTAAAAATGGCCCAAATTTGGGGGTAGAAATGCAATATTTAAAACTCTGTTACCTTAGTAATTGAAGTGCCATGATCATCTTTGTAGTGATTTAAAGTTGCAATAATTTGAGGTTTAGTCCTTGTAGTCAAAATTCTTATAATGTCTTCATGAGTAAATGCCTTTTCCTTACAAATAGCACCATGCAGAATATCAGCCTCAGAGTTTGCTAGCCTTGCATTAATCTCTTCACCTTGGTACCTAAATATGCTCACTAACCCAACCAGAAACTGCACAACAAATTAATTCATAAATTAATTAATTCACCAAAAAATAATATGTTTTTTTTTTTTTTTTTGTAATAATTGATTTTAGGAAAATAAGTATTGATTAATTCAGAAACCGTGCGCATATGGCTTGTTGTACGTTGAGCCAAGTCTTCTTCTAGGGAATGCTTGTAGCGGATTTGGTAGGCGCGCTTTATAGCTAGAAGCTCGACGAACGAACTAGTGCACGAAATTTCGACTATTGCCCGATAGTCGATTGTTGGTGTTTTCTTGATTGCGGTGTGCAATATCACAGCGTCGCGGTCTTCTGGATCCAATGCCCAGCGGTAAACAGCTTTCTGTATTGACTCGAATAAGTACGTTATATACGAAGTCATGAAAAATAACGAAGATTTAAATGTAATTTGACTATGGATAATTCATATCGTATATATATAGCATGTTTTTTACAAAAAGTATACACGGTGTTTTGTATGTTTCTAGTTATAGAGTTATTTTTGCATTTTAAATATGATAAATTGTTAAAAAAAAAAATTATATATTTACATTAAATCATACAATTATTCGTAAAATTTGGACCTAATTAAAGAGTATAAACTTATTCCAAATCACTCATTATTAGGGAGTTAATAGCACATTACTCCCTGTATTGTTTCTAATTGTCGAAAAATCTCTTGTGTTTAAAAAATTAGTAAAACGCCCACATGTTGTGTTTTTTAAAAGCACACCGACCCTTATTTCGAAATTTATTGTTGACTTGTGTAAAATTACCTAAGTACCCTTACAGAAGATATATTAAACAATGAACAAAAACTAAATCAAAAAGAATTTTAGAGGGTAATTTTAACTTGATATACTCTTATAATTCGCGCGATAAACTATTAGGTTGTTTTTTGGCTTTGACTATTTTTCACAAGGGCCTTCTTGCTAATTTCGTTAACACACCGATTCTTTTAGCAATTAGAGATTTTATACACACACACACACACACACGGGGGCGAGTCCACCCTTGGGCAAGGGTGGACTCAATCCCTCCTTACTTTATATTTTTTACCATATATTATACCTATACATCTATTTAGCCCATCCAACTTTTCTTAATTAGCCAACCCAAAATTCAAACCTTTAGGAATTTCAGGTACTTTAAACTCAAATTAATGCAAGAAAAGCCCCAATTTTTATTAATTAGCCCATCCAAAATTCAAATTAATGCAAAAAAAAAAGCCCCAATTTTTATTAATTAGTCCACCCGAAATTCAAATTAATGCTAAAAAAACTCTAAATTTTTTTACTTTTCGTTTTTTTTCTTTTCCAATTATATGATTTTGTCACAAAAAAATCCTAAAAATATTTCGACCCTAAACAAATTCATGGACTCGCCACTATATATATGTACTAGTGTTTTTTTCCCCGTGCGATGCACGGGATATTATTTCGAAAGTGAAAAAAAAAATCAATTTAATAGATAATAAGAAAATTTAGCACACTAACATAGTAAAATTTAATAATGTGGTATTATTAAAATTTTATATAACATTAGTTTTTTTAAATCTTACATATTAAGAATTACAATCCAAATATATAGGTTAAGATTTTAAGAAATCGAATTTTTATCTTTATCTCTTAAGATTTGAGATATATTGATGAAAAATAGGAGATTGATAATTGTTCAAAATTAGTAGAAAAAAAAAATATTAAAAATAAATAATTACAGAAGTACCATTAGGGTAGGATTCTTCACGGTTTAGTTTCAATGTTGATAATTGTTAAAAATGATAGTTAGAAATTAGTAGAGAAAAAAAAAATTAATTACTAAAATACCATTAGGGTTTTTTAGGGTTGCCCAGCGTTTCTAGCTTTTATATATAAAAATTTAATTACTAAAATACCATTAGGGTTTTTAAGGGTTGTCCAGCGTTTCTTTCTTTTATATATAAGATAAGATATGTATTTATTACCTCAAAATCGCCAGATAGCTCAGACTCAAGGCGTTTGATAAGATCTTCTTGATACAAGTCCTCGTAGGCTTGCCTTATCAGCTTTCTTTGAATTGCATTTCTCCTTCCAAGTATTCCAATTATACCCTTCTCATCCGTTCCCCATCCTACACAAATTATATAGCAAAAAATAATAATAATTGCATCTATCATATATATAACCGATAAATTAATATCGAAATGAAGCCAGATTTTTTTTTTTATGGTATACTAAAATCTAAATTAAATGCACATTTGATTTGTGACAAGGGTTTTTGTAGCCGATCGATCGCATCGGTCACTAATCCATCATAAAAATGAGTAATTGTAACTAATTGTGATCTTTTTTTTTTTTCGGTTCGATTCCGTCAATAAAGATTAATTGCTCTATTTTTACGGAATGCGATTATCATTAATATAATAATTAATTAACAATTAACATATATAGGTAAGTTAATTAATTTACCTTGACAAGCCTTTCTTAGAGCTTCAGCATCTGCAGCTGCAGAATGGTGGTCGGGGAAAACAATGGTAGACATATTAATTACTATATTTTTTATTTTTATTTTTGTTCAGAAGAAAAATGTGTGTTTGTTTGTTGCAAACTTTGATGGTATTTTATAGTGCAAATCGATATCCACTGTAGTTATTGTTGTAAGTAACGTCAATAAATTTAGGTCAAATTTCAATAAATACAATATTTGATTTTCTGGTGAACATTAAATATTATTTATGAATGCGTTAGATTTTTGTTACCTGGTTTGAAATGTGAGGAAATTGTTGAGCTAAATTTGGTACCTAGATTATTTATGACGTGTTTGAGATTTTGTCAACTACTGACAAGGATTTTTAATCCTCAATTATTACATACAAGGTGACATAAATTGGAACAATCTAGGGTGTGTACAAGTTAGAGAATTGACTATAATTAAACCTCTATAAGTTAATGCGTTTCAGTCTATTTAAAAAATTATTAATTTAGCGAAATATTAAATTATTGAATTAAATAATTTAATATGTTTTTGTCGAATTCTATTGTGGTAGGGTGCGCAATCTGGTACGCTTCCCCATTCTTGAATGAAATATTTATTGCAGGGTGGTGGCAGAATCGCTCTTCCTTGAGGCCCGACGTTGACACCTCACTTATGCCCCTATGTGGGTCCAGGTTAGGGGTGGTAAACGAGCCGAACTGGCTCGCTAACTCGACGAGCCGGCTCGACAAAGTCTCGAGCTCGAGCTTGGGTTTTTCGAACTCGAGCTCGAGCTCACGAGTTCGAGCTTCGGACGAGCTCGAGCCTAAATTTAGCTGTCTTTTTTTTTTTTTAATATATACAAGTAATTGTACCCGTGCGATGCACGGGACAACAAATTGCATTGTTTTGATATTGTAAGAATATAAACAAACGTTTGATGTATCGTATGATTCAAATTATGTTATAATCATTCATTAATAATTCATCAGTGGAACATTACTAAGTATACTAAAAAAAATAAAAATAACTTTACTGTTGAATAATTTTCCAAATGAATTGAATCAGCTAATACCAGTAGATTGAAAAATTGAACCAGGAACAAAATCATCACCTATGTCTTTCATGTTGAGCTTAAAAGTAATTTGATTTAATAGTTTAGTTAACCTAATCAAAACTATACTATCGACAACATATCAAAGTAATATGCCATCTATATATCTTGCATCGTAATTAAGTCCTTCTCCACTGCCTCGTTTTGGTCCTGTTTTGCCACTGGAATTAACAATTGAAAAATTAAGAAACAAAAATAATATAAACAATAAATTAAATATCGCATACAAACAATAAGTCTTGAAGGCCGACTTCTAATAGCTTGTGGCTCCGCCCATTTTTGCTTAGTTCTCTCCAACCATCCATTTCAATAACATCTAAAAAGGAAATAATTGTTATACACAAAATTTGGAATCTTTGGTATAAATTAATGAACACATAATTTAACAAAATGAAATTACCTATAAGCCATGATGGAAAAAGATTCAAACTAATTACCACACAATTAATAGGATGAAGAAGAAAATAAGACAAAAGTTCTAAAATCGGGTTACCAAAAGAAGAAGCCTTAGGTAGGATGAAGAAATGAAATTCAAATGTTGCAGAAATTCTATAGAACGATATCAAAAAATCTGCTAGGGATGAAAACCATATTTATTTACCATTTTTTGTAAAAATCGAAAATCAGATTTATTATGAACTATGAAGAGAATACAAATTGCAAAATAGCTAACCTTTTATGAAGCCACAACATTTGATAGAAACGGGGAGAGATAAAACTGGGGTGGAGAAGTTGAGAGGTGGAATATAAATAAGAAGAGAAAACACAAACGTGTTGAAGTCGAAGAGAGAAGTTGAAAGTGTTGAAAGTCTTAAGGAAGTCTTTGAGAATCATCATCTTTGGGAATATGATAATTAGTATTTTATCATCAAAAAATAATATTTAGTGATGAGATGTTTATGGCTGAAAATTAGGAGATACAATAATATTTAAGAGATTTAATTGTTTGCGCATTAGAGATATTTATAGCTGAAAATAGGAGTCCTTGGGCTGGTTAAGGCATAAAAATTAGATCGAAATCGAAAACAATATTTAGGAGATAAAAATCTGATAAAAATCGATAAAAATATTTAAAATAATATTCAAGAGATAAAAATTTGATAAAAATCGAAAATAATATTTCAAATAATGTTAATGAGATAAAAGTTGATAAAGTACGAAAATAATAATTAAAATAATATTTAGAAGAAAAAATCAAAAATATTATTCAAAATAATATTTAGGAGATAAAAATTTGTTCAAAATCGAAAATAATATTGAAAATAATATTTGGGAGATAAAAATTTGATAAAAATCGAAAATAATATTTAGGAGACAGAATTCTGATGAAAAGCGAAAATAACTATTTAGGAGATATTTTTTTATAAACTCGAAAAAAATATTTGAAATAATATTTAGGAGATATAAATTTGATAAAATTCGAAAATAATATTTAAAATAATATTTAGGAGATAAAAATCTGATAAAAATCAAAATATTATTTAAAATAATATTTAGGAGATAAAAATCTGATAAAAATCGAAAATAATATTTAAACTAATATTTAGGAGCTATAAATTTGATAAAAA